TGTGACTGTATTAGATTTAATTACTGAATTTCTTGCACGCTAAAGTTAACTGCAGTACTCTGATTCTGATAAGTCGTCATACGGAAGAGTAAGTAAGCCACTGTAACATTGTTTTCCTTCTGTAGAGGTGGGTAGAAGGTGGTTTGAGTTGAATTACGGTGATGTTCACGCATTATTAATAAGTTTACTTTTTTGTACATTGTCCAGAAGAAATGTCATTAATTTTAGGCTTTCGCAGTTGTTCATTGTTGATGTTGACTCTGCTCTTGGGTGTTTTCACCATGTGAATGTGGACAGTGTTCGCAGAACTTCAGAAGTGTATGCAACTTCCATATTCAGGGTTGGAGTAGAGTGATTGAGTGTTTTTTATGCGAGTATATATGTTATTGGTCCAACATATCCATGAAGAGAGAATGTTGGGTTTTTTGGTGAACACTGTGGTCCTGAATAGGCTGTTTGATAACATTTCCCATTCACCATCCATCCATATTGCCTCACTGGGCACCAGCCCCCCACCCCAGTCCACTGGACCAGAAACTTTTCTATATATGACCAGCCCCCCCCCCCCCCCTCACTTCACCCCTGAATATGGATGCAGCACATACCTCCAAAACGTTGGCAACACTGTCCCAACCGAGACAGTGCAAAGACACAAAAAGTGTTTTAAAAAAATGGAAAAATTAAATTGAGATTTTGATGGAAATCCAAATCTTGGAGTCCCTAGCACACACATTTACTAACTTCTTGTACTGTGTGTACAAGTGGGTGGGAGAAGTTTGGAGTGGGGTCTGCTCCATATTTGATTTAGTGAGGACACTCATTATATCTTAGATCATGATGTGCACAGTAATTATTAATGCAGTTTTTTTTGTATTTTGCCATGTCTATGAAGTCTACCCAGTTAGTGTAATTGATAACTGAATAACTTTTTAACACAAACAATTTTTCCCATGAGATTCTACGGCCAGCTGTCACAAAATATTCCCATTTGCCGGACCCCCTAGATAGGGCCATGTTAATATTCAGTCTTGGACAGAAGAATTGGTGCTTTAGGCCATTTTGAGAAGCAGATCTCTTGCTTGACCTTATGGGAGGATTTTTGTTTTCATATATTAACTAATTTTGTTATATGTAATTAACAAATTATTGAAAATGTTTTATTATCTGTGTTGTCCATGAAAACCTGTTTATTGTGTATAAATATGTAAACATTTTCAATCCAGATGTTCTTATTAATGTGACAGTTTTCTGGGATGTTATGCTGTGTATTTTGATATATAGGTTCCTCAGAAATATTGGTACCTTGCCACCAAACAGTACAGCATCACAGTCCAGAGGGCTATAACCATAATAATTCTTTTATCCTGTGAGAACCTGATGTGTCACAGATGTTTATGTTTAACTGTTAAATGTATTGCAGTCACTCTCAGTTATCCAGGGTGTGTTCGAAATATAAACTGTAGAAGGTGTGAAAAAAATGTCAAATATGTTAGCACATGTAAACGTTCTATCAATGTTAATATATGATAAAAATTTATTTTTTGGTATCTGTGAGCTTCATGTAGGTCATTGTTATCATTTTCACTGGTTGAACATACTGATGTAGGGTGAATGCTCTTGGCTCATATTTGGGAAGTATTCAGTTGAAAACTCAGCTAGGAATTTTTCTTATGGTTTTTCTCAGTCCCTCCAGTCAAATTCCAGGATAGTACTTTGATTAGATCATCATCACTTCCTTTCAAATTCATCATTTTATTGTCCTACCATTCGATGGTCTATAGTCTAGCTACTGACAGTGTCATTAATGTGGCCCCTTGTTGGTTTGTATTGTAGAAAAAGTAAGTCAATGTTATAAAAGAAACAGTAAATACACATTGAGGTTGTAATGGAGAAACATGTTTTGAGTTCACATAAATCTGAACTTGGTGTCATGTCTGGAGTAATTTTTAAAGGCGTAACAGCACGCGTCATTTGTGTAGAAGTCTTGTTTAATTATGTAATTCTGATGTGTTTTGACATGTTTTGTTAAATATTTTGAGTCTACATATAACTGATCCCTGTCACATCTCTGTTAATGTTTGCTGCACAGCTGTTTGTGACCACTTCAGAATACGCATAATGTTGTCTGGCTCCCAGCTGAAAGCAATTTCCCTTCTCTGTCTTGAACAACATTACAATATATTTTTAGTATGAATAACCAAGTTTTTGTGCTTTTCAATTTAGCTTGAACGCGAAGGCAGAATCTATGAGCAAGTGTGCCTACCAGAGCATACCCAAAGTGCCAGCACACATTTTACTGTTAACTTGTTTATACATTACTTTCTAACCTATGTCGTTTCACCATGACACCATTAACCATCAACAGCCCAAAATTAATACAGATAATTATTAAACATCTAGGTTATGCCTCACACAGAAAATGATGCTTCTTTATTGCAATTACCTATGTGTTCAGTAGGCCAACACCAGGTTAAGAACTTCTGCCTTGAAAATAGAAGCGGCTAGCTTCTCAAAACATTGATAC